GGTGGTGGAGTCTCCTTCCTTGGAGGTTTTTAAGGCCCGGCTTGACAAAGCCCTGGCTGGGATGATTTAGTTGGGAATTGGTCCTGCTTTGAGCAGGGGGTTGGACTAGATGACCTCTTGAGGTCCCTTCCAACCTTGATATTCTATGATTCTATGATTCTATGTAGTGGCTGGATGCTGGAGTTACATACATTCAGTTAGTGCAAGCAGGAATTAAGGGGCTTGATGCAGAAATCCCTGGGGGGAAGTTCTATGGCCTCTGTTACAGAGGAGATCAGACTAGATGACCATAATGATTCCTTCAGGCCCTGAAAGCTCTCAATTTAAATGCCGTTCTAACCTATGTGGGTAGTAAGGAGGAAGGAAAGGCTAAAGGGCCTTGGGAATAGTCAGGACTGTCTCTTCCTTCCCAGAGATTCTATTCTCTCCAACCTGTGCAACCCCCTTTTGTCCCATTTCTGTTTCCCTTTCACTGTCCAGGCCAGAGTACTTTGTTCCTTTGCTTGGGGATGTTATGGGGGTGGAAAGGTGGCAGAGTGACACCGCATGTGCCTGTATTCCTAAAATAACCAGAGGCACCACTCTTTGGAAGCACCAAGTGCTCACCTCAGATCCAACTGTTATTAGACAGGAGACGTCACAGACCATGTCAAGGCCATCCCGATCTCTGAACCTTGCCCCTTCTACCCACTGGCTAGCGCTGATGCATGAAAAGTTTTGGGTGAATGCAAGCAAGTTGTATCACTGCTCCATCCTTCTGTATGAACATTTTCTAGAGGTCTGAAAGGTGCCACTTGCTCTCACAGGAGCATATGGCTTTGAGTCACAAATTTCTCCTCCTCTCCTCTCTCCCCTGCGTGTCAGGTAATGGGATCTACTGCTCTTTAAATTCTGACCTTATTTTCCCTCAACTCTAGAGGCAGAAACTACAAGGGTCCTGTAAGAACATCAGGGTGTCCCCACAGCCTCCCCCAGTATGGCCCCCAACACCCAATTTTAACGGTCACCCAAAGAATGTTTGCGCTGATGAACTTACTCTGTTTTCGCTGCAGCCGCTGTCCTCCTTCCAGCTGTGGGCGACTCCAAGGGTCATCAGGAAATTTTCACAGGCTCATGCAAAAGGGACTTTAACAGCATCAGACTTTGAATCCTCCCTGCCTGTTAAGTTTAGCTCCTCCCTCTGTCTTTGCCTTGTTTTATTGCAGGACTCCAAAGTCCTCTTCCCCTTTGGATGTTTTTTCTTCATCCCCCTCAGAGTCCCTCGTGTGCCTTTTCCCCACCCTAGTCACCATCCCTTTTGGGCTCAGAACACATGGGGCTCCCCATAGGGAGCCCACCAACACTGCCCTCTGGACACTGGGGCACTACAGAATGAAATGAGACCCTTCCTTTTCCTCTTTGCCTAGAGGGAATTGCCACAAAAGTAATGAGGGCTGGCTGGACATTTTCTGATCAAAACTTTTCATCAGGAAAATCTGGTTTTTAACTAAACAAAAATGTTATCAGGAAGCACCAGCTTTCCCCCAGATTGGTTGATGTTTCATAGGAAAGCTGAACAGCCTGAAAAAACATTTATGTCCGTAAATTGAAAAATTTTCAGATTTTTGAAGAAAACTAGGAATTTTCCACTGAAAATTACGATGTGAATAACCTTTTTGTTTTAATGAAATTTTCTATGGGAAAAAAAGCCCTTTTTCCAAACAGCTCTAATAAGTGCTTTCGGGACTTACCTAGTGCTTTTCATCTCCAAGGCTCTCTCTCTCTCTCCTTCTGACAGCATCTAAGCATCGGAAACATTTAGGAACTTCTTATTCGGCATTTACCCCTAAGAGAGCTTATGAGGCTCTGTGGTCTTAAATGCCAGCTGGCTCTTGCTACAGAGCAGCTGAGAGGAAAACACCTGACAAGCCTCTGCTTCCCACAAGAACTTACCAGATGCAGGACAAGTTGATCTCCATGGGGTAGGGGTTGAAGGTAAACCCTGACCCAGAGTCCAGCTGTGCTGGATCATCCTATACAAACCAGAGCTGTATAAGAAAACTCAGACACTGCACATCCCCATAATCAGGAGACTTACACAGAACCCAGAAAGGCTGAAGTAAAGATCTCAAGCAAAGAAGAGACTCAGACTGCCTGGGTGTGACCTCAGAGAATGGCCCAGCCTATCACAACCAGATAGGTATAAACATTGCTTGTGATAACTAACAGATCAGTGACAGATGCCACACAGCCTTCCCCAATGCTTAGCTCAAAGGTAGCCAGTGAATAATGAGGAAGAGAAGAATTTAAGGGCTTAGAATTAATGAAGAGAGACTCTCATCACTACAAAGTCTGATGTTTTTATTGCAAGTCAGGCAATATTTGGTGCTTTTCTTAATGCCCCAGTTCTTGAAGTCCTGTGATTGTGAGAGAATCTTAGCTTTCATTTTTTTAAAGAATAGTAAGTTTCTGGCCCTCGTGGGAGTACAGAAAAACTATGACCCCTAGTGGCTCAGAAACCAAATACACTGGTCTACGATTTTTGAGAAGTCGTCTGCTTCAGATATAAAATGTGCTATTTATTATGTATTTTGATGTGCTGAATTCAAATATGACAATTAAAACAACTGATTGGCTTCTGTTTCTAAGATATTTAAGTTTTTACATTTTATGTCTATGTATATTGTGTAGATAGTAGAGTTTTAATCATAAATTGTAAACCTAGCTCTTTTCATGTGTTTATGGTTGCTTTACATGATAATATTTCACCTGTCCTATTTATGTAACACTTTAAAAATCAGCAAAAGGGTTATATAAATAAAATTTATTATGAAACAAAAGGCAAAAAACTATTATGTACATAGTTTAGTCTTATTCAGTGTCTACTCGGAGCTTCTTGGCTTGTCTC